TTCTAAAACAACGCATTTTAAACTTATCATTTCAACTTTTTTCTTTAAAAATTATTCAAATACCTACTTAAAAAAGACGAATGAATTAATGCATTCAACATTTAAAGGGATTCGTTTCTATTTCAACAGTTGGCAACATCTGTTATAGCTAATTAAGGACAATGAATCTGTTACCTGCATGAGACAAAGAAAGATGACATATTTCAGAGGCGTGATGTTCTGTTTACTTCTGTTCCGAGTTCCGAAACGTTCTGTGACATATGACATTTTGTGCACCTAACCTATCTTCCTCTATAAAAATAAATAACAAAGCAACTGTTGTTCATGTGGCTTGCGGAGGTGGTATTGAACTATAATTTATATTTTGCCTTAATTGTTGATTTATAAAAAATAATTTTTCTTTTTCAAAGTAGAGACTTGATATAGTCAACTTGATATAGACGCTGTTGCCAATGTGTTAATTAGAACCAGATCCCTTTGAAAATTAAAACCCAACATTGGAAACATGAATTTGAATACTTTTCGAAGTGAATTTGAAAAACTCATGAAATAAACTCAACTTTATTTTGTTCAAACTTGCATTTGCTGTAATAACACAAATTGAGGAACATTTCCCTTTATAAACAATTCCATATCAATATTTTTCTGATATTGACCCCAAATACTAGCATTTCAAAGATCATGATTCAAAAAAGGAATTTCAATTTTCAACTGTTCTATGAGATCATTGATATGTAGAGAAAAGGTTATACAAATACATACCCGTACTTTTTCACTCTTTCTATAAAACCGCGATGTTAATGAATCGAGTGAATAGTCGAAAAACGTATTATTGCATGAGAGCGATACGAATGAAGTCCACGGAAGATATCAGGTTTAAACGCGCTATGTCAATGATCGGATCAATTAAAACAAGTAAATAAGTTTTCCAATAGGAGTAGGCATTTCAAGAACTCATTAACTATCGGAAGGGATGACTAACACTACGTTTATTTCAACATGATATTGGAAATTTAAATTAGTCCGAACCAGCACAACTATAACCAGTATAAATAACATTATTTACTGGAAATATACCTATTTCCAACAAGAAATTGAAAATTACTGTTTGAAAACTGTTTTTCCGTTAACCAGCTTTCGCACCCCTACGAACGACAACTCTCAAGAGTCGAAACTTGTGCGAGCTAAGGTCTTACGAGGTCTTACCTTTCAACGTGTGATTCCCAACGGTTCATTGTGAGATTTCACACGTTTGTTTTAAAATTTATAATTAGCTCCTACCAAAACCTGGATGAAATTATTGGTCACCAAGTAAGTAGTAAGTTATACTATTCAAATTGGTTATTTATATAAAGCACTGGTTAGGTAGAAGTTAGTCAGTATGAACACGTCTGATGAAACTATTGTATAGTGAAACACGTGTTGTGATCTTCTGAACTGTTTAGTGAAGATCTCACAAAGAAATGTTGCTTGAATATAGTTGAATGAATTAGGTGACATAGTACGAAGCCGGGATGGTATTGCTATCCATGCAAAGCCCTTTGAGGTTAATAAAACAATTCACCACATATTATTCTTATTTTATAGTTGATGGCATATGACAAACTTTTAGGGATCTATACCCATTTTAAAATTTAAAAAACGGGTCACATATGATATGGTGATTGGAAAGCTGCATCAGCTCCGTTACGCTGGAACTCGCTTTGAAAAAACTTAAATTTTTTTTTAGCCTACTTTATCTACAAACGATGCTAATGAATGTAGTAATGTTCATTTTTTTGTAGTCTTATCGGTTATTGAGAAAGCATTATTGATATTATTCTAACTACGAAGGACGAGTAATAATGTGCTAAAAAGTTCTGAAATAGGTTCTAAATGGATTGTAGTTTATTGTAGTAACAACAAAATATTACTATATTTTATATTCTTGTGAAGTATAGCAAAAAAGCCACTATAACAAGACTACAAATCATAAAATAACTATTGTTCTCAAACTACAAATGATGGAGTTAATTGTAGCTGAAATTAGATGTTTGTAGTTACCAATAAACATATCAAAAATGAATGAAATGAAATCCAGTATTTTTCAAGTGCATTTGTAGTGAATCAAGAACAAAACCTCACAGTCATCGTTCAAAAACTACTAATAATTGTATAAAGTGTTGAACTCTTCAACGACTACAAATTGCTTTATCAAATGTCCTACTGTAATTTTGTGGTGATTCAAAAGAAAATATTTTTTGTTGATTTTTCGTAAATGAATTTTTAGTATGATACAAATTTTTTTTTACTACTTGACTCAATTATACTGTGTCACTATTCAAATTGTCGGTTAAATTTGGCTATCACAAAAATTCAAACCTATTTGGTAATTTTGAATAACCTATTCATAATAAAAAGTGTAATTTATAATAAATATGTGCTTTCTCAGTAACTGATAAGACTACCAAAAAATGAACTCTACTACATTCATCAGCATCGTTTATAGTTAAAACTGAATAAAAAAGAACATTTTTTTGTTCTTGATTCACAACAAATGCACTTGAAAAATAATCGATTCTATTTCATTCATTTTTGATGTGTTTAATGGTACAATCAGCTACAATCAACTCCATCGTTTGTATTTTGTTGTTACTACAATTAACTACAAACCATTTAGAACCTATTTCAGAACTTTTTGACACATTATTACTCGTCCTTTGTAGTTAGAATAATATCAATAGTGCTTTCTCAGTAATCGATAAGACTGAAAAAAATTAACATTACTACATTTATTAGTATCGTTTGTAGGTGAAGTAGGCTAAGAAAGGTTGATTTTTTTTAAAGAGGGTTCCAGCGGACAGAGCTGTCATATGATCATAAATAAAATCCGCAATTTTCAATGAGGAGGAATAGTTTGACGCGATGAGTTACGTCAAAAAATCATGAAATTCAAGTGTTCAACTGACTTTAAGTATGACTTGATATAGTTTTCATTAATCTCTTCGCAATTAGTTTCTCTGTATAAATTTTTTGGGAATGAAATAATTTCGACTAGAGAATTTACTAGTTGATGAAACTGCATAAAAACTACAAAGCCAATAAACACATGGTGAGTTACTGAAAATTTGAAACAATTATACTTGAAAATTTTGAAGGTGTACAAAAAGAAGGTTCTGATTTTTTCATTACAAAAACCTGAACAAAATGTTTCAAAATGCTACACACACCATCTAATAATATGAATACGAAAAACAATTCATGATGCACTGTTTGGAACCTTTGGTGTAGTAATGAATATTACTGGAGTTTTTTCTCAACACCAAATCGTTATTTTTAACACCTCGACACGTGTTTCGATCACCAAGTGATCATCTTCAAAGATGAAGATTAAGTTTTTTAACACCTCAAAACACGTGTCGAGGTGTTAAAAATAACGATTTGGTGTTGGTAAAAAACTCCAGTAATATTCACGAAAAACAAAAAGAAAATTATTATTAATAATATATGTAATTTTGAAGTGAAATGATGTGTGAAATTGTGAATCTGATACGGAGAAAACTTTGAAGGTAAATGTTTTTTCGAATAACTACGTATCTAAATTTTATAAGGACTATGTTATTCGTTCAAATAAACAGATGAATACTGTGAAATATGTTCAGATAGTTTTTAGAAAATTCGTAGTATATTCTTGTATAAATTAATTTATCAAGTTTCAAGGACTTGTAGCTACAACCTCATGATGTTAATAACAACTCTTGGGGGTCCCAGAATTGATTTTCTTTCTTATCCAATCTTTGCAAACCATCATTTCTAGAAAATAATGACCCATAGTTCTCAAGCTTATAGTTCAATTTCTGGTTGATGAATGAATGGCAGTCAATATATGTGATACATTGACATTACAGAGATAATTAATAATAATAATAATAATGTGTTGCAATATCACACTCCTCATGCGATAATGGAAATGAATAATTATCGAAATGAAAGTGGAATGAGCTGTTTCAAACTCCCAATGATCAACATCTTTTTGTTCGACTATGAATTTTCAAAGTAATGAATGCAATTTTTATTGTTGAGTTTTTTTGTTACCCAATTCTAGGATGAAACTGGTGAGGAGTGGGTCAGTGATCTGTTGAAATAGTTTTGATTCAACCTGAAGTTTCAATTTATTGTTAAACATAAGTGCTGAAATAGTTATTTATTATACAAGGGAAGAAAGTATTAGATTTCAGCTCGAAATTGTGTGTTCTTATCGTTAATTGTAAAAACGGGTCCGACTTCTTGTTATAAATGAGCCCAGAAAATTATTTAATGAAAGAGACCCTTAAATTAAAATTCATTCATAAGAAATGCTTCATGTCAACATCAACACTAACTTGATTTTCGGAATACCAGTATTTTTGACAAATATTCAAATCTAAGGAAAATACTCTTACTTGAAATGATTGAGATGAGAGGAGTAACTTCAGTGTAAATATAGGACATAATCTGGTCCTATATTCACATTCTGAACGCATGTTATTGGAGTTTAATATTGAGCATGTCCTTTGATAAATTTCAATTTAGGTGTATCCATCCTTCAACATAAAAAAGTTCCGAGTTTATAATAAGAATATCGAATTCAACAGTCTATAGCTAGCAAGACAATTGGTGTATGTAACGATGAAAACCACAAATGTCAAATTCAACAGTATATAGCCAGCAAGAAACTTTATTCATGTAATAAAGACGGAAAATATCCAATATACATAACATATAATTTTTGAAAATAGTTAAGGTGAATTTCACACAGAATTATAAATATTAGGCTTTCAAGATACTTCAATTCATTGTAAAATTTTCATGTCTATACTCTGATGATTAACATACTAAGCACTAATGACTAAACCTTTCTCCACCAGTTTCATCTTTGATTTTCATAGTCGTTTGTAAAAACTCTGAATTTTGTGAAATCAAACACTAATCAAAGGAATATACAATAACATATTCATAACGTAAATTCTTAGAGTACTTACTTCTTGTGGTGCACCATGTACTAAAACAAAAACGGCAAAAACCGCAAGAAGCACTGTTGCTGACCACATCATATCAGAACAGTTGAAGATGGCTAGTGGAATGCACCAGATCCGGGAATGTCCTTTTATATCCTGATTCTTATCCTGAATTTCGGGGTAGGGACACTAACATAGCGACATACTCCGTAGGTAACACAGATGCCTACGCAGGTGCACTTATCGTTTTCAAAAGCTTTTTGATAAGGTTTTATTTCAATATTGGCAGTCGTTGGATTTTATTGTTATTATCTGATTGGGTTTTATTTTCTCTCCTATTAGTTATATATCATTGTTTTTGTGAATTCTAGAGGATGAAAACTCTCAAAAGATGCTTCCAATCAATTATTGTAAAATTCGCACAGATTTCAGATGAAAGACTTTGAAAATTGGTGTTTATTCATTCATTCAAAATTTGGGATACCAATAGGTAAATTCCCATAGAAGCATCCACTGATAGTAGTGGTTACAGAGATACACGGTGTCAACAGATACAAGAAAAAATAAAAATTAATGAATTAATAAATTTCGTACACACTAACCTATTATTTTTGCTATGTGTTTCATCGTTATTTTAAAGGAATTCAACGTAATAGAGAAAACATTTACATTACTACAATACATCACACATTCTAGTAATTGGGGAGTTTTTGCTTTGCCCAAATTTGTGTTGAAATTCGGACTGGCAAGTAATTTTCTGTTTCTAGTATTCCTATGAGGAACGTGATAAAAATCACTGATACTAGATTGGGTGAGTCATAACACTGAGAATACACTACAAAACATACTTTTGTCTATTTTTCACGATATTTCTTTATTGTTGACTAGTTTCGGCTATTACACCATTTTCAAAAGAACTATCGGGGAAAATAGGCAAAAGTGTGTTTTTGTAGTGTATCCTTAGTGAACATGAATTTCCCCAAAATGAACAAATCGTCAATTAAAGAAGTCAGTCATAACAGTTTGTTATAATTTCATAGATAAAAACTAAGTTGGTTATTATTCTTCGTTGTTTTAGAATATGTGTATTTTGTAGTGATATCAAATTCTGCTAATGCCAAGTGTTATAAAAGTCTTCTTTATTTTGAAACGCAAGAACCTTACAAATCTGTTCTGGAGTCTTTCTGATCGTAATTTATGTGTATTATAATGTGGTCTCCATATGACACTTCGAAATTAAGTTTACTATAAACAAATGCACAGTAAATAGATTTGAATGCTGCCTCGTTGTTGAAGTCTTTGCATATTCTGCAGAAAAATTCCAGGGTTTTGCTGCAGGAATTTATTACATAATCCAAATGGGGATTGAAAGTCATGTTTGGATCAAAATGGATTCCAAGATCTTTGATTTGGTCTACTCTGTCAATAATATTATTGCCCAGGGAGTATTGAAAATGTACCGGTATGTAGTTTCTGCAAAAAGATATACATGCATATTTATTAATATTAAGTATTAATTTATTGAGGTAACGTTATTCCGAAAAAGCATTGAGGTCTTTCTGAATCTTTGAGCAATCTCTAATCGTCGTTATTTTTCTGAAGATGTTCAAGTCATCAGCATATATTAGTACTTGTGAATGCTTGAAGAAATCTTTCAAATCATTTATAAATCCTAGAAACATTAATGGACCCAGATGTTAACCTTGAGGGACTTCCGAGGTTACCACAAATGGAGCAGATCTGTATCCATTTACGCTCACCAGCTGACTGCGATTGTGAAGGTAGGATGAAAGCCATCCAAGGAGATCTCCCTGCATACCGATTCCAGCAAGTTTTGAAATGAGAAGGTTATGGGCGACTTTTTCAAAGGCCTTACTGAAGTCAGTATACAGTGGTCCACTTGTGCTCGATTGTCTAATGCAGTTGAAATGTAGTCGGCATATTCATTTCTATTACCTTCTTGTGGAAGGTAATAGAAATCATCATCAATCATAGAATGCCATGCTGGCATTCTATGATTGATGACTTGATATAGTAAAACATAAAGTCATAAACGGTGATTTCGAACAATTTGCTGAAAATAGACAGTTTACTGATACCTCGATAATTTATTACTGAGTTTCTATTACCAGAGTTTTTAAGAATTGGAACTAGGAGAGCAGTTTTTCAAACCTCTGGAAAAGCACCAGACTGCATGGATTTATTTAATAAGATACTCAAGGCATAGCATAGACCAGAGGCACAGTTTTTAACGAAGTATATAGGGTAACCATCGATCCCAGCACCCTTATTCACATCGAGTGACTTCATTTTCTCTAATATGATTTCTGAAGTGAACTAACTCTATTGATTTAAACAGCTTATTATTCTTGAACTGAAGAGGAACATGATATGTTTGCTGATAGGGCTCGTAAACGCTGCGAAAATATGTAGCATATAGGTCGCATAAACTTTCAACATTTTCAGCAAACGTATTGTTGTAGCTGATTTTATTAGGAATACCTACATCATTTTTACATGAACTTTTTGGGACACGTTTTAATCTAGTTTTTGATATTATTTGTATATAAGTTTTATAATCATTAAACATAAGATTTTTACTCCTTCGTCTCAGAATTCTGAATTCCTCATAGTAATATCGATTTTTGGTGTATATTCGTGGCAAATGAATTTCATTGTATCGGTTCGTACTTATATAATCCAATTATATGTTTCTCAACAGTTGAAACCGGTATTTTATCAAATGCAATCCATTTTAACTTGATTTTGAATTTGGTATCTTCTTGAAGATAAATAATTCATTGAAATTATTCTCAGCGAAGTGTTTCTTTTAGCAATATCGAAAAAATTGAGTTTTTCATATTATTTATTCAGTTTGAGTGTTACACATATAATGGTAATATACCACAGATGTGTGAATCTCCAATCGTTTTTACCGAAATCGAAAAGGACCTCCACAAAAAACTTCTGAAAGTCTTTAAGATACATATTCAACACTATTGTCTACGTTCAATGAATGAAAACAATAGTCAACTAATGGTTCAATACGTTTTTGTAGTTATTCTTTGAAAAACATTTTTTTTGTGGAGAACTCAATGCTTCTTTTACGGGTTTTTTGCGTATATAACCTTCCTCAATCTGAAAATAGAGAAAGCTAAATCAATGAGAAATCTGCTGAAGAGCAAACTGAAGAGTTCACCCTAAAAAGTTACTGGGTAATATACAGTGCTTTTCAGATGAAAGTATCCACCTTTAATAACTTTTGTAATATTGGTATTTAGGAAAAATCCAAAAACACGTCAATTTATGTTGGAAGGGGCAAGCATTATGGCNGCTTGCCCCTTCCAACATAAATTGACGTGTTTTTGGATTTTTCCTAAACACCAGTATTACAAAAGTTATTAAAGGTGGATACTTTTATCTGAAAAGCACTGCATATTCGCAAAACACTGAAACATTAGTCAAGTAAATACATATACCTCACAACTAAAACCATACTTATGTTCCCGGTTTGTCTGAGAAATTGAAAAAACGAAACGAAAGATTGTATTCACAATATACCTTGTTCCTGCGGAAAAATTTATATAGGTGAAACCTCAAGACTTATGTATGAGAAAAAAATAAATATCGTGAATATACAGGGTGGGCCATCAAAAACTTGACATGGAGGTTTTGGGTACTAATCTTGCAAATCCCCAAAAAACGCTCAGACAGGTCGATTTTTATTGGGAGTGGGACAGTTTTTTTCTCCATTTACAACGTCGTCACGTCAACCCCGGAGCAGAGGGGTGAAAAACCCTTGGAATTTTAATAAGGAATAGGGGACGAGTCGCATATTGTTTGAAATATCTTGGAATTCTCTAAACAATGGTGTACATTTTTTAAAATTTGGACGTATTTAAAAGAGTCATTTTCGATAATTAAATTTTTCGATATTGCTAATAGCAACAAATTGTTGTACACCACCGCTCAGTTGGAATGTATTTGAAACTCTTTCATTTGTTTCTTACGCTACTTTTTTGTTAATTGTTTAGTTATTTTCTGATAAGCGGACTATTACAATTGAGAAATGGTTAAAAATTCTGTTTCTATTTCTCATTTCCATGTTTAAAGTGCAGAGAGGGTTGAGTTGTTTGAACTGTACTATGGAAATAGACGTTGTTCTGCGAGAGCTGCTGAACTGTTCAATCAACAACATGGGAAGAATGTGTCGCGACAGTATGTTTTTGATTTAATTGCAAAATTTCGCGTAACTGGATCTGTAGCAAATAAAAAACGGCAAATCGAACCACCAGTAACAAATGAGGCGACACACGTGGCAATTCTGGACCATGTTGAGCTTGACAATACTTTGAGCACAAGAAAGTTAGCATTTTTTCCGGGGTGTCACGAACTATAATTCGGCGTACTTTAAAAGCCCACAAAATGCATCCTCACAAGATTAAATTAACGCAAGAACTGATTGAAGATGATTTCGATCGATGCTTGCAATTTTGCGAGTTGATTAGTGAACGAGCAGTGAAATCCATATTTTGTTTTTAACATTTGCTTCAGTGATGAATGTTTTTTTTTCTAAATGGCACAGTTAATCGCCATAATTGTCGCTATTGGGCCGATTTAAATCCTCATATTTTCCATGAAGTGCATACTCAACGTCCACAAAAATTAAATGTATGGGCTGGATATTTTGGTGACCGTATTGTTGGCCCATTGTTTTTAGAAGGCAATTCAACCGGATAAATGCATCTAGAGCTTCTGGAAGGTACTATTAATTCCCTTCTCACTGATATTATCGAAAATGATCATAAATATCGGGAGAATGTGTTATTATTTCAACAAGATGGGACTCCTCCGCACCATAATCTGCCTGTTCGGCAGTATTCAGATGATACTTTTCCGGATCACTGGATTGGGAGGCGGGCCACCACGATCACCAGACCTTTTGCCCTCAGATTTCTTTCTGTGGGATCATTTGAAAAGCAGAATTTACTGTCTCCTCCTGCATCACTCGAAGATTTACGGCAACGAATCACAAATGAATGTCGTCAAATCACTCCAGAAATGCTCCACAATGTTCGAGGACGTTTTCAGAAGAATCTGTATTATTGCATTGAAGCTGGAAGTGCCCATTTTGAGCATATTCTATGAATAAAGT